GTTGTTGAAAAACAAGTGCTAATCAAGATCTAATTCCAAAGCTGAGGGAAACTTCAATTTTTTCTAATATTCTTTGCACTGAGCAGGCATCACCATGTTGTCCATTTAATCTGAACAATGCTGATGACCTGCTTTGTCTCACCATTAAATATCGTTCAATTCACCTCTGTGTAGCTGGAACAGAAAACTCACGGCAGAAGATGACTGAGCCTTGTGTACAGAGTAATGAGGATGGTAATACCGGGATGGTTTATTAAAACAGCTCATAAAGGGAGAGGTCATGAGGAGCAGTAATTTTCCAAGTAAGAGCAGAGGCTGAGAATAAAAATGAAGTCTTCTGTACTGAGACACCTCATCTAATGCCTCTCTGTTAGGAAGCACAGTCCAAGTCCCCTGTCTGTGCAGTGACCACCTCTACACTCAGGGGACACAAAGACAGACACATGAAACCCAGGCCAACAGACTTCACTTTCAGCCTTTTTCACCAGCCTGGGGGTGGAAGGTCTCTATTTCTTCCTCATACTGGTAACAAATGGACAACTCTCTTCTTTGTACCCTACTGATTTACCTTGACCAAGTCCTATCTGCCAGCATGGGAGGGTTAAAAGGAAAGACTTTCCCTAGGGGAAACCTAGGAGATGTGCTCAGATGGAGAGGTCTGCAGCATATGACTCCCACCTCAGGATGTAGCTGCGGGAGGTGGGACACGGGGGACAATGACTTCAGAGAGGCCAAGAAGTTTGCAACTTACTAAAGCTGCCAGTGTGAGCAAGATGCTCAATGACTTCAACACCTATTCCAGAAACTTCCCAGAAACCTCTGGGGCTAAAATAATTTTTTCCACTGTATGGACTGGGAAAAGAGGAGTCCTACCAAACTTGTTCTAAAAGTGAATGTCATCCAGTACTGAGACAACACACTGTGATATTAAGTAGCTGGAGCAGTACCTGGGGTATGTAACCTTGTCTGTTCCTGGACTGTATGATATAATGCATGCAGATGGTCAAATAACATCTTTCCTCACTAAACAACTCCATTCATATATTGCTTCACTGCTGAGAAAAAAAAAAACCAAACAACAAAAAAACTATGCTGTGGTTGGATTTAAAATTAAGAACATTCTCCCAAAGGGACTGTGTATCATCTTCAAGCCTGCTCCCCACCGTGAGGCTTGTGGTTAGATCTTTATCTCCAACTGTCTGAAAATAACCGTTGCTGCAAATGATCAATCCCTAATGCCATTCCCCGTATCCAAGGAGGACATCTTCCAAGTACCACGGAGAAACCAGAGGGTTCTGCTAAATTCTTTGCAAATTACAGAAATAGAGCAGTGACCGTGTGTGGGTGGAAATGTCTTTCTCTGCGAAACAAGAAGGCCACATCCTCGCAGGTGACTCCACTGACAGCTTTGCTGTCATGTTAGCACGGAATTGCGTCTGTGATGCACTCAGCTTGGGAGACATCCAGAAGCACTACAGAGCCCCAGCTGGGCTCAGACCCAGACAGAGAGGTAGGAAATTTCTGCCAGCTATTATTTTGCCAATCACCTGAATTTGTGTAGAAGTAAGGCCCACAGATCTGATATATAGATAGACACCATTTTTTAAAATTTTTTTTCCCCCCAGGAGCATACCAAACCCTCTCCATGTGCTATGAATCCCTTTTCTAACTTTGGGCTGGCGCCCCTCTTTAAAAATTGTGACTACACCAGAACTAGTTCAGGATCTGTTCTTACATGTTAATTTGCTTTGTCTCCACCCATCTCCAAATGAACAGACCATGTAAAACCTCTAGTTCTTAATGTATGCCTCTCAACCAAGAGGATTTCTCTTCATCACCTACAGAAGCAGGGTTGCTACTGGTTTGATTGACGCATCTTTTAGCTGTGTTCATGCATCCCCTAGCACAGACAAGCACATAAACGTTGGAATTATTGGTAACAACCTGGTGGTCAAATTATTGCCTGGTGGGGAAGAGGGAGCCTCCGTGGCATGGGACAACCTCCAACCACTTCTTAGTCTGCCTGAGCCCACTTCAAGTTTCCCAAGATCTCTTTATAAATGGGATCATGGCAGCTGGAGGAACCCTTTCTGGCTTTGAGGACAATTTCAAATTCAAATAATTCCCCATCATAACAAAGATGTGGCTTTGGCAAGCTTGGACATAGTTTCCAAGAGGAGGTAACAAACTAGAGCTCCTCAAGGGTTTTAAATAAAACAGTGCTCCTTAGGTTGGCCCTGGATGAGACCAACACTTCATGCTCCATGCACAAATGCAATTGCCTACCCTTTCCCTCGTCTCGTTGGTGAGGAACTTGGCACATTCACTGTAGTTTGCCCAGGTGCGGTTGTTGCCTGGGACCAACTCCCAGCTCCCGTTCAGGTCACACCGGCGATAAGCATGTCCTGTGGGAGAGAAATGAGAGACAGAGTAAATAGGATGAGACCTGGTAGAAGAGGATGAACATCTTCCAAGGGTGGATCCCATCAATGCTGATGCCTCCTGCCTGCTTTGAAGCTCAGCTGCAAGAACACAATTTCCATCTCCTTAGCAACTTCATCAGTTTTCTAGCTGAGAAACACCAGCGAGCTAATAACAAGTTGTACTTAGTTTATGTTAAGATATTGGGTCTACAAACCAGGGAGAGAAGCTTTGAAAAGTCCCAAAGCATGGAATCATCCTCTGACTTGAATCTCTCCCTATGAAAATAAAGCGTGATCTACATTATCCTGCTCTTTGTTTACAGACTCAGTACATCTCAAGATAGAATTTTCTATGGCTATTCTCCTCCTGCTGTGGCCAAGAAGGCCAGAAGGATGCCAGGGCATCAGCAGCAGGGATAAAGAAGTCATCATCCCATTCTGCTCAGTGCTTGTCAGGCCACACCGGGAATACTGTGTGCAGTTCTGGTTCCTGCTGCACAAAAAAGCTGTGGGCAGGCTGGAGGGGGTCCAGAGCAGGGCCACCAAGGTGGTCCAAGGACTGGGAAACCTCTCTCAGCAATATGAGGACAAGCTGAGAGAGCTGGGCTTGTTCAGCCTCGGGAAAAGGAGGCTCAGAGGGGATTCCATCACCATCTACCAGTACCTAAGGGGTAGTTACAAGGAAGATGGAGACTCCCTTTTCACAAGGAGTCACATGGAAAGGATGAGGGGGAATGGGTACAAATAGATCCTGAGAATATTCTGATTGAACATGAGAGGGAAATTTTTCCCCATGAGAACAGTCAACCATTGGAATAATCTCCCCAGGGGAGGGGGTGACTCTGCCATGTTGGACACTTTTAAGACGCAGCTGGACAGGGTGCTGGGCCATCTTGTCTGGACTGGGCTCTTGCCTAGAAGGGTTGGACCAGATGATCCTTGAGGTCCCTTCCAACCTGAAACCAGTCAACAGATCTATCTGTTCTGTGACTACAGAGGAAGAGTTTATAGATGCTGCCCAGGGAGGTTGTGGAGTCTCCTTCTCTGGAGATATTCAAAGCCCGCCTGGATGAAGTCCTGTGTAGATTGCTCTAGGAGAAGCAGGGGGGTTGGACTAGATGATCTCCCGAGGTCCCTTCTAACCCTTGCGATTCTGTGATTCTGTGACACCTTTGCCTCTGCATCTAAAGGGTCTTAATCTGGCTCCCACCCTAGCTGGCTTGACCAGTAGACTTCAGTGTGGTGGGGAATCTGTGCCATGTTGCGTTATCAAGAAAAAAAGGGGATGGATTCCCTGTTCCTCCTGGCCTCTAACGTGAAGTGCATGTGCAGGGGTCTCTGCGAGAGGTCATCAGGCAGGGGTTAAGCTGGCTCAGCTCACAGTCCCTTATAGAAAAGGCAGGACAGACGATGTGCAACCAGGCTGCACTGGAACATCATTACTTGTTTTCCAAAACCAGCGTCAGTGTTCTGCTGGGAACGTACAAGTCTTAATTCTCTGATTTTTCAGTCTTTGGGTGCACAGCACAGCTTCACCTGAGAAGAGAGAATGCTTTAGCTTTGAACATACACTGAGGGGCGAGTGTACTTCAATTGCTTCTGAAAACATGCACAGACTTTGCGGCACCACAAGCAAGCCATGAAATGCGCTGCCTGAGGGAAAGTGAGATAGGGAGGAATTCACATGTTCTGGTTACCAGCGCTGTTCTCAGATACCCACCGTAGGGGTCTGGGCAGAGATCAGGGGCTAGAATTAAGAAACCCGTGAAGTGAAGGATACAGTTTGGAATATCTTGAGGGTTTCTATTGCTACACAAAGTTTGTTGCATGAAAAAAAGTACAGGTTTGCAACGCTGCGAGACTACCAAACTGTAAGCGTGTAATCAGAGCTTATAATGCCTCATGACAGTCTGGATAGGGCAGGTGGGAAATTTGTCGTTGTTTAGGTTGAAACAGAGCTTTTCTCTCAGCATAAAAAAATAACAGCTGTTTCTTTACTTCCTTTCCCTGGCTTTACTCCTGCCTGGAAGGGAGTCACCATGTGATAAAAAAGGGATGCTAAAGAGGTTTTTGAATCTTCTGACTCCCATGCCTCCCCTTGCTGCAGCTTACCAGGCTCTGCTGACACAGAGGACAACACCTACCTTTGTGATTGAAGTCATAGATGTACTCGGGACATGGCATAGCCACCACTTTGCCTGGCACACCCTCAGGCCAGCAGACGATACCATCCCACTCCGGAAGACAGAAGCCATCTGTGGAGGAGACACAAAGGTAAAGAGGAGTCACTGGACCTGCGGAGGTGACACTAATGCCCCACTGTTCGGAGAGGCCTCGCCGTGAAAAAGCCAACAACGCTGTCACTCAATTCGAGAAAGCCACACTTAGGCATCCTTGGAATTTTGAATTTGGGTGCACTCTTAAGTAACGCTAAGACTAGCAAGAATCTGTAGAGAGGTGGCAAAATTTCTAACCGTAAATAGAGAATATTTCACTGCCTTGTTTCATAAGGAGTGAAACGATGGAATTTCTGTTTCCTAATGATTTGCATCCTTTCCCATCTGACATCCCTTTCGCCTGTGACTTCACTAGTCCCAGCCTCCCTCTCGCCCCTTTTCCCCGTGATGTCATCATGGGGCAAGATGCAGGTCACGCACTGATTGACTTGGAGCCATGCCCATGCTAACTGGCTGGCAGTGCACACAGGCTGATTGACCAGTCGCCTGCTGCCAAGCGCAGCGTACAATCACAGGTTTTCAGAAAAGGAGCAGAAAGAGAATGGGCAGGTGGAGAAGTCACATGAGCCCCGTGGCCTTAGGAATGCAAATATCCTGGGAACTGTTTGTCTCTCTGTTGTACCACTTCGCTAGGCTCACTGCTACATCCTAATCTTTTGAGAAGGGAGCGGTGGGCTGGTTGTTAAAGGATTTGTCTTTAAATCATCCTTGTTCTCCCTTTTTGTTCACTGAAGAAAGCTGAAATAGCCCTGAAGGAGAAATCCTGCCTTCCCGCCCCAGGTCTCCCTCTTCCCTCTGTGCATATCAGTTTATTTGCAGATAGCTGAGATTTATGTGCTTAGTGCAAGGAAAAGCAGAGATACAAACCAAGAAAAAAGTCCTGACACACATTTTATGTCTGCTTTTTTTCCACCAGCCTTTTTTTGAAAGTTGGCAAGGATATAAGTATATATTTAAAGTTCTTTGTCATTTTGCAATTCTCCAGAACTGGAAAAGTAATTAAGCAGGTTTTCTATTGACCCGTAATTATGAGAAGCTTCGCTTCTCTCTTCACAAATAGAAGTACCAGACAATCATCCAAGGGCTCCAGCATCATGTCCTACATGAGCACGTAGGCTAAGAGGGACATGAAGGAGCTCTGCAGCCCATGGGGTTTGCCACCAGCCTCTGAAGCAGATGAGATACCAGCAAAGGAGGTGGACTGCCCTGGGAGATGGGCTGCTCACCTTCCTGGCAGTCTTAAATTCCTCATCACCTGTTCGGTCAGTCTGCAAGGGACAAAGCCAGAACATATCCATATTTAGAAGGGGTGAGAAATCCTCCAGGCTTCTGGAAAGCTGTGGGAATTGACCTCATTTTCAACACTGCTTTTAAAAGTGGGACGTCAAACCCCATTCCCCACCTCTTACATCCTTCCAGCTTGTTGAGCGCCCATTTCTGCAGCTTTTGATCCACGAGCTCCCAGTCCCACATGGGAACAAGTTCCCATTCAGACGGGGGTGTTCAATGTGGGCTGCATTTCCAGCCCTTGAGGAAGGACTATGCACCCAAATCTAACCTGGTCCTTAGATGCACCTTTGCGTTGGGCTGTATTAGCTGCACCCATCGGTTAAAATCCAGCTGCAGTAGAGTGTTTGAAGTGAAAAGCAAAAACCGGTGAATGTGCCCCAGCTCTTCTTTCAGAGCAGCATCTGCCCGCCATACCGATGGCAGCGGGCGAAGGAGTTTATCAACAGCGTATAAAGTGTCTGAAGAGAGCAGTTATGTGCGGATCAAAATAAAACGGGATGGCCTGCTCTTATCTGCAAAAGAACTCCACTAGTAAAGAAATGATACGCCCAGCCAGGATCCCAGCACGTTTCATTAATATCAAAGCTAGCACCTTAGCATCTTTCAACCAAACAGCAATTTATCCTTTATAATGAATATGCTTTCGCAAGATTAAATAAGAATCCAGAATTGCTTTGGAGACCTTTGGCTGATATAGTGCCCTCCAGGACTGGAGCTAACAGTGATCGATTCCGTTTGCTGGTATTTTTAGGACATGAAAAACAGCAAGAAAACCTCATCGCTTAACAGCTGATTTCTTATCTTTAATTTAGTGCTGATGAAAAGGACCAGACTCATCACTGCTTATCTTCTAAAGCGTTAACTGGGAGTGAGGGTAGAGGAGCTAAAATTCTTCAACATCGGTGTGAAAAAAAGGAGGATGTTTATTGCATTTTCTCTGCTTCCAGTCACATTAGAGGAAGAAAAATACCAAATTTCCTATTCATGAAAACTGGGAAAGCCCTTCCCTTGGGCTCATTATGTTGCAGGATTACTTACACTGTGAAAACCAGTTTATTTGTTTTTCAGTTCACTGGAAGGATCAAAAGAAAAAGAAAAAAAAAAGCCCCAAAAAATTTGGATTGGGACAAAATGTTATTGTTTCTGAGGTTTTTTTTGTAGGCAAGAAAGTAAATAGAGATTTCACTTAGCCCTCAGAGTAGTCTTGCTTAAAACAAAACCAATTCTTTTTTGCAAAATAAACAAATTTGGGTAAACTTTAAAATGAATGCTGTGAAGAAACAACACTGAGGAGAAAACACATCCATCCGAATGTCATGCTCTAAAATGTTGTGTGAAACCCCTTCAACTTTTCTAAGATCTTCAGAACAACTTGCAAAGGTCAGCTTTCACTTACAAGTACTTTCATTTAGTATCATACTGCAATATTTTTTCCAGAAAATATTAATGTGGAAAAGTATCTGGTGGGTACATCCTCCTCAGGCTGTAAACATACGCACACATGCATTTGCAATGGACTCGTTCAAAAAAAAAACCTGATGCTTTCTGGATAACAGAATATGCAATTACTTCTGTTTCAGTGCTTTGATCCCCACAATCCTCCCCAAAAGCTGAGGGTTGAAGGCTCTGTGCAGGAAACACAGTGCAAACCGGTGTCGGGGCACCTCTGGGCTGCTGCTTTATCCTGCGGACAATTTGGAGAGCCATCAGCTGCCCCAGAAATTTGAAAAAAAGGTCATTGCTGCCTCTCACTGCATCTGAAAGCTTTCCATGCCTCTGTGTGTTGACCTGTGGAACCGATTCATTAAAGCTGACAAGGATCTGGTGGAACTCGATTTTCAGAAAGCATCTGAGCCTCCCGAGAAAAGACACAAATGAATCTGTCGCCGTTATCATGAACTGTCACAACACAGAGGAACCTCTTTAACCCCCTCTCCATCTCTCCAGCATCCCCTGCCTCTCTATCCCTGCTCCGTGCTTGGAAACCCCATTTCTGCCAAATTTGAAGGAGGGGTAAGACATCTCAGTCATCATTTCCTTCCTGAAAATTTTGTGGTGATTGAGGATTAGTAGAGGGAAGGGCAGGTGAACATTTGGCAGCTGCCACCTGGGCAACCAGCCTTTGCTGATAGAGCAGCCAACTGGCATGTGCATAGCTTAAAATTAGGCACAGCATGGATGTTTCTTGCCAATCCAGGGCACCATGGGGGCAAGGGGAGAGGAACTGGGTTGGGAAGAGGGACTGCAGTTATTAGTTTGTGGTAGGAGAAGCTGAGGAGGGACATCCACAGGTCAAGCCAGGTGCCTCTGGACCTCCTGGTTGCAGAATGAATTGAGAAGTTCCTACATTGACTGAAACTCTTGGAAAACATTATTCAAGTGGAAATATTAACTGACGTCAGGACCAGCCACACTTTGTGACTGTTGGATCCACATTCCTGGGTTTTAATGCAGCCAAAAGCTGTTTCTCCTCTCTATGTCATGCCTGTTGTCCCAGACAGGAGCTCTACCGTCCTCTCACTTATATCTCTAATACCTCCGCTCGTCCCTTCCAAGGAGACAAACCATTGACCCTCTGACAGGACAAGGGGTAATGATTTTAAACTAAAAGAGGGCAGATTCAAACTAGATGTAAGGAAGACGTCTTTCATGATGAGGGTGGTGAAACTCTGGCCCAGGTTGCCCAGAGCAGTGGTAGATGCCCCATCCCTGGAAACATTCCAGGTCAGGTTGGACGGGGCTCTGAGCAATCTGATCCAGTTGAAGATGTTCCTGCGCATGGCAGGGGGTTGGACTGGGTGACCTTGGAAGGTCCCTTCCCACCCAAACCTTTCTGTGATTCTATGGTTCCCCACATTCCTCCCTTCCTCCCTCACTCCACCCTCATCTCCTCTGGTCCCCACAGCCATGTGGCACCTTTACCATTAATTTCACCAGCTTGAGACCGCTGATGCGATAACTGGGACCAAATTGTGCACCTTCTGCCTCCAACTTTCTCCTATTTTAGTCACTCTAGAGGCCACTTAACTAGGCTGATAAAATGGGGAGGGAAAATACCATATATTCCATTGACATTGTGCTGGAATCCAAACAAGACTTTTCTTTTTGCTTGTTTTCCCAAATACCTCCTCCAAACATTTTTTTCTTGGTTTATAAAAATATTAACAGTACTAACAACTTGGCTTCTCTCTGTTGTTTTCCTTTTCTCCTGGTAATTTCTCAAAAGAGATCTACACTGAATTACAAGAAGAAATCTGAAAAATGGTGAGGAGTTTCAGGAAAACAATAAAGAATTGCACAAGCCAGCAATTTTTCCTGATGGCTATACTTTAAAATAAAAAATAAAATCCATTTTTACAACCTTTTTTATAAGCTGTCATTAGGGAAAAAAAAAATCCACCACCTGCAAGTAGTGTGCTTTTGGCATGCTAAAAATAAGTCAGTCTCTCCTGAGACACTGTTAACAATATTTAGAAGCACAGATAATCAGACGGGATCCAGTTTGTTCTAAATGCTGATTGAAAAGCTCTTGAAAAATGTCTTTTTTTTCTGTGAAAAATAGTCTGAGGGCTCAAATACTTTGTTCAGATTGATACAGGTGGCTAGGTTTGGGACCTGAAGTTGCATATTCCAAGTGAACTGGGAATGCAAACCATTTTTTTTCCTTGGAAGAAATAGTAGGATTCACTGAAGAGGTAGGTCAAAAGGAATTCATAAACTTTTAAGAA